GGGAAAGGGAGAATGACAGATTGGAGGAGGGGAGAGAAGACAAAGGGGAAGAGAGGAGGAGAAAGAAAATTAGGGAGGAAAAGGAGGGAAAGAAAAAGGGGGCTGAATTATAATAATGTGTCACAGTACATGGAGCCGAGCCAAGACACACGCTGTGAATAATCTGTGGTGGTTTTTTGCAGATCCGGTTGTTGTAGCATTAAAAATATAATGCCAAATATGTCCCAGTGTCTGGCTTGCCTTAATGATGGCAGCCCAGGGGATGGATAATTAAGAAAAACGGATGAGCAATTTGCCTCTATATAGCTTTAATAGTTTTCAAATGGGTCATATTCAGTGTTGCTGTATAGGACAATGATACTTTGACCAACAAAGTGACCCTATCAGTGCTAGTTTATAGGAGACCCCACAGAAGAAATGATGTTGCAATGTGTTCTGAATGTACAAAATCATATAAAATATGCGTCATTCAACATGGTAGTTCATGCAGCCTCAAAAGTGAAAACTCTACTTTGGCAATTTATACAAAAACAAACTGCCATGCCTGGGCGAGCCTGTATAAGAAACATGGACAAAGAGTTTTCCTCTTATTATTTGGGTGAATCATGAAAGCGAATACAGATGGACAGATGGATACAGATATAACAGCAGGTGCATAGCAATAAGATCCATCACCTTGAAATCCAGGTTTAGACCTAAATCTACTGAAGTGTTGAGTCCCAGAGTGTCTTAAATAAACCGCTCTGAAGCCAAAGCAGCTTCCACAAGGAAAGTCAGTAAAGTAAAGCAAGGGCTTTATATTATGCACTTCTGTCCTTCCTTATGACGTCCTCTGCCTGCCCTTTGCAAGGAGAAATGAATGGTCCAATTGATCAACCAGTTACCTAACTGACCAGTTGACTCACTGATTCAAATTTAATGATATACCACAACACTATTGTCTATTTAAGTAAACTGTTTCATATAGTTAACATTTAATCGCACAAAAATGTTATAGAATTATATACCATCCAGGGCTAGCACGACTCAAAATGCCAACATTTATTCAATGTTGGACAAATAACAAAAATCACTCCAATGAACCCACATACATGTACATACGGATACACAGAGTTACACAAGTATAAAGCTGACACACACACACACACACACACACACACACATTTCATCCCACATGCTCTGTAAATAGAGAGCAGGATGTTGCAGACATTTGGGTACATGAACAAACAAGAAGTGCTCCTAGAAATAGAGAGATAGAGAGAGAGAGCAGGGAAGGAGGGACTGATGAAAGAAAGTGGTAGAGAGAGAGAGGATGGAGACGGAGAGAGGGAGAGACAGCAAAGGAGAGCTAGGGGTAGGTGGACAGATGAAGTGGTGACTCAGGAATGAGATATGAAAAGAAAAGATTCAGCACTTGGAAATTCTTCTTCTTCTCCTCCTCCTCCTCCTCCTTTCGCCTCTCTCATTCTCTCTGTGGACAGAAAAGGTAGCATGAGACGGACATGGATCTCACCATGAACTTTGCTCTTGTTCTACTCGCTCCATCCATCTTCTCCCTTCCCTCTTCCGCCATCCTACCTCTTTTTCTCTGTCCACACATTCCATCCAGTCTTTGTGTCCTCATGTGACAAAGTGTGCAGAAGTCTGCCAGTCTTACCTTGAGAGGAGCGGCAGTCACGAAGCAGTCAAGACTGCGATTAATAACAGAGGGGAATTTCAGGAAATTGGTCACAAACCTTATGCCTGCAGAGTATGTGATTTGAAATTATAATCTAAATATAAAAATAATACTAGAAAACTGAAATACTACAGAGGTTGGCACTGTTGCCATACACCAAAAAGGAATCTGTTTGAAAATGCAATATTACACCTACACATTGTTTTGTAGCTTTTGACTCTTGCTATCATTGTTACATTCCTGTATTGATGCTGTGATATTTGACCGGAGTACAGAGATCTGTTTGTGCTCAGTTAAAATCTTCTTCCTGCCTTTGGCAGTGAACTGGATGCTTACATTCAGTCCCAGAGTAGAACAGAAAGTGTCCACTTTGCGATTCTGCTGTTCATGTTGAATTGAACTTTTTTATGAAAATGTCAGACATCCTAGTATGTTTAACATGACATATAGATGTAGACTGCAGTACTGGTTCTCATACAAAGCATCATACAAGTTCAATTTAAAGGTCATCACTGTGTTAAGCTTTGTACGTGGAATTTGTCACATTTATATACCTCAATACTGTGTGTGACATATGGATATAGTATCATACATTTGTTTGCTTGCTTGCTTTCCTTTTTGATTTCTCTTGTCTCAATAACGAACATGCAGGGTTTCCCCTATAGAAATTGTGTAGCCAAGGTGTTAAGCCACCCAGAAGTTAATTTAGTTAGTAGATGATGGCCTAAACAGTAACCACGCTCATTAATAATATGACATTTGTTGTGTGAGACTGTGCCTCTGCCTTTTTTCTGTACAGGTTAACGCTTTATTCAATAAAGTTTTTATTTTTTATTTTTAAGGTGTTTGTAAAGGGTAGTCTTTGCTCAAGACAAGGTGGCAAAGTGGTACTTCTTTAATACAATGCTGTAAAAGGAAACGCTGCTGTGTGTTAGTGTATGAAAGTATTCAATCATTCATTTTACAGTATGTCTTTAAAATGGGACATTGCCTTACTGTATTGTTCTCTGTAAAAGGAGAAACAAATTAAAGCAACTACAAGGAACTGTTTACCGCCTTGTGCCGTAAAGATCATAACCTGGCTAGTGCATTTGCGAGTGAAAGAAAGACGCAAGTTATTTTTGATACACATTTTCTTTTTGAGGTGATGAGGTAATGTATCTGTTTAAGACTGTGCAAGATTAATAATTGTAAAATGATAATGGTGAAACAAAGTAAACTTTGTTTAAGTACTGTTCATACACCTAGGTTACATGTAAGCCCACAACTAGCAGATTTGGTTACTCAATTAATTAGTAATTTTGTCTTCATAATAATACGCCTACAGCAAGATATATCTCAGTTGCAGGGCCAACATAAAATGTTATGTTATGCAAGCAGCTGTATTACATCGACTGTAAACAGACATTTAACATACCTGTCAAGGAGGAATAGTGCCAATTCAGGATTGGTTTTGAATCCTTTCAAATTCCTCAGTTCTCTCCATCTGTTGAATATGGAGGTTGAAAATATAATGTAAAAAATAAAAATTCTCTAAAAAAATCATTCTGGTTCCTTTAGACTGGCTTACATACTCACAACATAGAAATAGCCAATGATAGTGTTGTTTGCTTATTTAGGTCATATAGAGGCATCAGTATTAAATTATGACTATGTCATAACCAGTTAAAAACTCCTTGTAGTTGCTTAAATGTGTTGATGATAAACACTGCGAGGGCTGCAAGTCTCTAGAGATGCCTCCACCACCTGAGGTAAGTCTGACTGTGTTCCAGAAAGTCCCAGGTCATCGCTTAAAATGAGGGGGCTACTGTACCTAGAAGAGCACATAGGAAGGTAGATACAGTTTGAAGTTACCACCATGTCTCTCTCAGGATCTCTCTGTTTCTCCCATTTTTTTAAATTCAAATTATTGTTACTGATGATACAAATAAGTAGCCTACAGTAGCCTATTTATATGTCAGAGTTTACTGACATAATGTTTGTTTGTCTGTTTTACTATGTTCTGTGTGTGTGTGTGTGTGTGTGTGTGTGTGTGTGTGTGTGTGTGTGTGTGTGTGTGTGTGTGTGTGTGTGTGTGTGTGTGTGTGTGTGTGTGTGTGTGTGTGTGTGTGTGGGTGGGTGGGTGGCAGGGTCCACAGTCTTTCCTTGTGGCTGCTAACCTCACAGCAGTGCATGTTAACTGTAGCAGTATCCAGTAGAGGAATTTAACGTAGTACATTTAGTCAAGTGCTGAACTTAAGTACAAATTTGAGGGTATTTCCATTTTGTGCAACTTTATACTTCTACTACCAGGTACATATTGTACTTTTTACTCCACTTCAGTTGTCTGACTGCTTTAGTTACTAAATGAAATGATTTACGGAACACAGACCAAAAGTTTAACAGCGAGGGGTACGTTAGCCAGTTAAAAGGAAGAAGGAGGAGATTTTTGGAAATTGTACTTTTGATGTTATGTTTTGCGGTTATAGTTGATACTAGGACAGAATCAGCAAAAAGAAAAAAGGTACAGTCAGAGAGCATGGGCAAAAACACCAGTCAACCATTGTCGGTCATTCTACAGATGGAGAGGGATTTAAAAGGATTCAGAACGGATCCTGAAAGGACTTTATTTGGCTGTGTACATGGAGGTATGGTCATGCTGGGTATTATTGTAATACAACTGACTTATAATGTAACATTTTGTGTTGGCCTTGTTACCAAGCTATATCTTGCTGTTGGCTTATTGTTATGAAGACTTAACATTCATAGGGAATTAGTAGGCAAGCATTAAAAATGAGTTGTCTTTCTTTTACTTCTTTCTAAACGAATGCACTCAAATCAGGATCCCGTGGAAACATTACCACTTATGTCCACAGGGGCCGCCAGAATCAACATAAAATTATAGTTCCTTGTAGTTTCCTGTTTTGAATGCAGGACTTTTACTTGCATTATTATTATTATTACTATTAAAATTATTAACAATGTGGCATTAGTACTTAAGTAAAGGATCTGAATACGTATTCCACCACTACCAGTATTATAGTAGCTATTGTAGATACTGTAACCCTAAAAATGCAAGTCGGATGCCTTTGAGTGAGTCTTTAAAACTGGGAATTATTTATCCAGACTTTTTACAAGTTCACGTAGCATATTTTCAAAAATGCATAGGTGGTTTGTGTTTCATATCTTGACCTACTTGAATAACTTTTAAGTGGTGGTGGTTTGTTTAATTCAGTTCTCTGAATCTGTCTCTCACTACTGTACCTCTGATCTCTCTCTCTCTCTCTCTCTCTCTCTCTCTCTCTCTCTCTCTCTCCTCCGGATCTTATCTCGGTGCGCATCGTCAGCATCAGTTTGAAGTCAAATCTGACAGCCACTGCTTTGCCTGGTCCTATTCCCGTCATTTCCACTCTCTGGTGGTCATCCCGTCTCGTTTAAGAGGTACAGACCGGATTAGTGAGCTAAACATGTGTAATTATTGATGTACTTTTTGGGTGGGTGGTTGTGTGGTTGTGGGGAGTTGACCTGGATTGCCGCCCGGGATGAGATAGTCCGTAGGCTGGCGTGCTTTTTCTCAATGTAGTCTTACCTTTTTCTCTTTGCAGTTCAGTCGGGACTGTGGGAGCGCGTCTGCTTGCTGTCTTCAACTTGGGGTGAAGAAAGACAGGGGAAACTCCTCGGGATTCTCCGTACACCGAGCTCTGATCCGGATATTCTGGTGAGCACACTTTGGCCAAAATTGTTGTGTGATTGTAATCCTTTGCGTTCAAACATCTGAAAGTGCTTCTGAATTATTCGGCAGATTTAAAAACGGGCGTGTCTGAATGACCCGGGCACTTTTGCCTTCTCCGAAATGATCACCACAAAAACACACAGTTCATGTGTTGTTTTCTCACGCCAGAAGCTGGAAACGACAGCGTAGTTAGCGGAGCTCGTTCGCTCCTGACAATTTTTATACCCCATGGCAGCGAAGTTCTCTCTTATTATGCATGGGAATTAAACGTGGCCATTTGTGACAATTATCAGTCTGTATTCCTGTCACGGTGGGCGAAGAGAGTAAAATACAGCCGGTTGGGATGAGGGAGTGGGGGATAGATTAGGTGAGAGGAGTGTGAGAAGAAAGAAACATTTGAGGGGTCCCTCAGGGAAGCGCTGCTTCCCTCCTTTTCATGAGAGGGATTTTATTAGTCTTTTATTTCTCTACAATGATGGCATTGTCTGATATTGTTCTAAAGCCTCTACTTAATATGCTATTATTGTCAGTGCCATTGCTCCCCATTATATAGGCTATCCTACAGTCCTGCTGGCTGTGCTGTAGGCAGAAATCTATGGGGCCATTTGCTGCTTTTATTGTCCTATTTATCAATTAAGCTTGTCTATAATGGAGATATCACACTTCCTCCAACATAAAACATTACTCTCCCACACACCATCCGTTAGCATCTCACCTCCCACATAGCCACACTTGCTGTCCACCGCCGATTATCTGGTTATGTGCCACCATTTGCACTAATAGAGAGTCCCTACTTAATGTAATGACAACTCGATCTGTCAGCCCATGCACAACAGAGGGCCGCTTAAAGGCTCATAAGCAGTGTCATCAAGGGCAGATTGAGAAGCCATAAAGACACAGAGGACGTGACAAAGTGCCTGTGGAGGTTGTTTGAGTAGTTTGCTGATGTGTTTTATTGTCCATTTACAGTATGGGGCCGTCATTGTGAAGCATCTACTGTGTGTCTAAGTGACTGTTTGTGTGTGTGTGTGTGTGTGTGTGTGTGTGTGTGTGTGTGTGTGTGTGTGTGTGTTGGGGGGGGGGGTGCATGTGCGTGTCAGCTCTGCTCAGTCATGTGTATGCAAGGAAAGAATAAGTGAGCAAATAGAAAAGAGGGACAGAGAGGGGGAGAGCGAGAGATTATGCTAACTCAAAGTATTGGAGGAAGAGGAAAACCCATGTAAGCAGTTTTTCTTTTAGCTTATATATTTATTTATTTAGCTGTCAGGGCGTTTACTGATACACAGTAGGTTCTTCTGGCTTTGACATGCTTGTCACCAGCATGAGGTTTATATAAAAGAAGGCCACTGCTTATTTTAGCTTAGCTATAAGGCTGCAAGACAAACAAGTTGAGGCTAAGAGGACTGATCGAACAAGACCACTGACTTCAACACACATGAAGGCGGCTTATAACTCCAGGAACATGAGACGGAATTGCTGGACAGCAGTTGAGGGTCCACTGTTTCTCTGCTGTGTTTTCGCAGTGGCCCAGAAGCTAAGGCGAGAGCACAGGAAGAAATGATGCACCACCAGTGGGTGGGCTGTGGATAATAATCAGAATGTATTTTATGTTTCTAGCTACATTTAAGGTAAAAGTAATAACGTATCAAAGGAAATTTATTTCAATGGGAGAGTGTCCCATGTCATAGTTCTTCAATCTACCTCCTGTACTCTCTTCAGATGAGTTTCAGTCTGGGATTCACAAAGATGTTTCAGTCGAGATTTTGAACCTCATTGTAGACATCACAAGGCAATCATGCAACGAACCAACCATTTACCCCCGACGACCCCCCTCAGTTTTTAGTCTGGTGAAAATGAGATGATGTATTCTTAGATGATGTGCTGACATGGTGTCACTGATGGCAGTTGAGATGATGATGATGATGATGACAGTGTTCTGGCTCTTCTTATTGATAGTTATGATCTGATTATCATTGATACTGATAATAAAGTGGGTAGGTGCATTACATCATTCGTAATAATGGTGTTACAGCGCTGCAGTCTGGAGTAGGGCGTTACATCTTAGACCAGAAAAAGATCAAAAGGACTTGATTTCCCAGAATGCTCCTCACTCTTAAGAGCTGTGTGACTTATATTGGAGCCGAGGCAAACACCCGGTTAGAGTGGTCTTTCAAGAAGAAGACAAGTTGAGTGTCTTTTGACAACATGAAAGAATAGATCTACTTGAATTTGCCGTTGTTGTTAAGATGGTGGGCTGGCAGCATCATCGCAGTCTTAAGAACATGACAGTCCGTGCAAAATGGTAGCGGCATACAAAGCCAATCCTGATTTTTCCATGTGACAGATTGTGTGTGTGTGTGTGTGTGTGTGTTTTCTTTTTTGCTCTGGTTGTTGTTTGTTCTCTCAGACGCAGACTTTCTAAATCACACATAACAGGCACATACGCACTCAAATGTACTTCGGCAAATTATCTAATTATTAACATGGACAAAACAAAATGGTCAAAACGTTCTCAAAAATACCAGAAACACGTCGATGCAGGCCTGCAGTCACACTTGCCTACACACTTAGGTAAAACCTCATTGTGTCTTGGATGTATCCACCCATTCTGTCATACAGTACATGGCCTTGGGCTTAAAAATATGTGTGTACAAACACACGTACACACAGATATAGCAGGGACAGCCCTGGTGTGCTGGCACCAAACCAAAGAGCTGGTGATAACGAGGTTGAAGTTAGTTAGGATTTTAGCTGCGCCTCAACCTCCTAACACCCTTTCTAAATCTGATTCATCCCAAAATGAGATGTTTTTCCAAGAGAGGGAGATGAAAACATTCTCTCCCTCTCTCTTTCTCTCTCCCTCCCTTCTTCCCTTGCCAAATACAGTTGAGCTCACCCCCCACCGCCACCCCTCTCTTCTATTACTCTCATACTCTCACACACTATCTGTTTCACACCCCGTTCCTCCCTCCCGTTCTCTCACATCTCTCTCTTCTCTCCTCCCTTGGCACCTCAATGTGTTTCTCTTTAATTGAGATGCATTTCAATGTGGTGCAAATTAGCTTTCTACAGCTCCAGTCCAAACTTGCAACCTGTGTGTGTGCGCCCATGCATGTATGTGTGCACATGTAATCTATAAGTGTGTGCGTGTGTGTGAAAAGAATTCCCACAGTTGAAAGCGCTACCTTCCTCTTCGTTTCTCCAACGCGTCTTCTGATGCCTCCTTCTCTCTCCCACTAACTTACATTTTTAGTACAGCATTAATAACATTCACTGGTTTGGACTCCTTTAGTTTGTGCCTTTTGGCTGGAGGAATTTACTCGACCCCCTTCTTAGGATCTGAATGCTGATCTGTGAGAGATGACAGTGCATGTCAGCTCATTAGGGAGAGGGCCATAAATCAGGAGGGTCAGGGAGTTTTATAAAGACATGTTTCAGTTATGCAATGCTTGTCTTCCTCAGCTGATCTGATCTGGTGCTGTTTTGCTAAAGGGAAAGGCAGGCTGGTGATATTCTCTACACTGTGCAGGGAGATGGCACAAATATAGGGAAAGTGCAGTTTGCCTCTCTTAATGTGTTCTTTAGTTGACTGCTAGAGTATTAAAAAATGCCAATTAGGGGAAAGTTTTCTCCTATTCTGAGAAACTTGAAAAGTATCTAAAAATGAGATAAAATGTGAAATGATCTCTCCTAGTGACAGATACCTAAACTTCTATAAACAAACATCTTAAAAAATAAATACAGTGGAGTATCTTAAAGCAGGTTCATCCAGGTGGTCTCTGGTGTGTGCAAACAGTGTATGAGTGTGAACATGGCACGGCGGACTTTGTGGCACTTTGTGTGTGTGCGTATGCATTCGCACATGCATGCATGTGTGCATGTGAGAGAGGGAGAGGAGTAGTTAGGGAGAGTGATGCTGACAGTAGGGTGACCTTGGGGCTCCCAGTCTTCCTCCTGTCGATGAAGGGGATGACTTAGTGCCTCCCTCCCCACCCATGATGGCTCATTTATTATCATTAGGCACACAGTCAAAAAGATGCTGCTCAGGCCCTCAAAACAGAGTGGTACGTCTGTGGGTATGTGCGCTTGTCTGTCTGTCTGTGTGTCTGTCCGTGTGTGTGTGTGTGTGTGTGTGTGTGTGTGTGTCCCTTAGCGTGAGAGACAACAGGATAGAGAAAGAAAAGGAAGTCTTATCTTTTACGATAAGCGTTGCGTATCTGAGCATATGTGTCTGTCACAGATGCACCTGCCTTTGTGTTGAGCTTCTGAACATGTGTTTATCTTATCATATCTTGACGGAAGACGCGTTGCCTGTCAGTCCACATCTGCCAGTGAGATGCGCCTCTCCTGCTTACCATGCAGTATAAATAACAGTTCATGTCATAACCCTAACCTTACGTCACCTCAGCCAGCCAGTGAGCAACATCAGTGGTATATGGATACATCAGGGCAGCCTCTGTGCTATCGTTTCTCAGCGTGATGGATGGAGACTTCTGCAGGCCAGTCAATACCCAATCTGAGCCCCACTGTCCTGATTTAAGATACAGCTGCACCCAGGTGACACACTCAGAAGCACGCCACTTTAATCACTCTGAGCATCAACTCTACGCTGCCAAGATTGGTGTGTGTGTGTGGGTTAGTGTGTTTGTTTGTGTGTTTGTATTAGTATCTCACTCAGTCAAGCACTGCTGTAATCACACAGCAATTGGCAAGTGCCTGCACTTCTGACAGAGTTAACATTTTTTTTTAATGTAAAGGGAGTAACATAAATAACGTTTACTGCTATGTGTGGATTGAGCGGTAACAGAAGACATTCATGAAGAGAGCATGTGGAGGTATTGAGCTACCTTATTTTAGCGTTATTTAAAAGTTACTACAATTTGTATGGAGCCTTGTGTAAACTGAAAGCTCACATACTGTAAGGCTGTCTCCCACAAAACATATTCATATATTTTTTATATTTCTGCTTTGACAAATGGCGGAAA